TCTTGTGGTGCACAAAGCAGGAAGAGAGCCAGAAGGGTGCTGAGGCGCCAGCCCAGAGAGCTCACAGGTAGAGGTGGGTGGCTGAGGCCACTCAGCTGTCTAACAATTTCTCGTCTTAGGGTGAATCCCAGGGGACCACAGAACAGCTGTTAGAAAGGTCACTTGGTGGTGATTGTTAGAAGAGGCTGGGAGAGCAGCCATGTCAGTGGAGTGCATGAGAAAGCATTTGGCTCCAGAATCCACGCCCGGTATTGGGTTTGGATTGTCCCAAGAGAAAAATCTCCTCTCTGTGCTGTTCTATCAGTGTGAAGTGCAGTTTCTCAAATGGGAGGAGGGAAGGGGGAAAGAAGCCACTCCAGGGAGCAGATGTCAATGAGGAGAAGTGGCACCATGGTGGCACATCGCTTCTGCTCCGCACAGGGCCTCCCCATTTTATCCCTGAAGATAGCAATCATCGCAGTGAGTGAATGTGTTATTTCACCACAGTCACTTAACCCCAGGAGACGAAGACAAATCATATCACAGCGAATGGCGTCTCTTTGTCTTCTTTGCTGCTGACCTGCTTGGTGGTGTTTATTTCTCTGGAATTAGCAGAAGGTCCGTGTTATATATTGGTAGGTCTTTGGAATTAATCATGATATGATCTATATTTTTATTTGTGTATTTATAGGCAGAGAGGGGCACGTACATATATTTATGTGTATGCATAAATGACTTAGTGATCTTTTCAGTTGGTAAAAAGTAAGAATACTCATTGTAGAAAAAAATCAAAGCAGAAATTAGTAAAGAGAAAAGGAAATAACAACAAGTATTGTACTAAACAGAGAAGACATTTTGCATTAGTTGTTCCAATCTTTTCGTGTCAATTTTGAGTACACCTTTCTCATGGTCCAAAGAGCACTTCGGTTCTATATGCTGCTCTTCCCTACTTCATTCTCTAGAAGAGACTCCCCCGTGTTTATAAAACAAATCTGAAGCCTACTTCATGCATGTCTTTAGAGGAGCCTCCAGTAAGCAAGTGTGTGTGCTGTTCGTGGGGACTGATTTAGAACCAGGGAGTGGGCCCGAGCCTCTCACTCTCTTTTAGGTTGTTGACAGATCCAAATGAAGGATCAGAGGACTCAGTGAGGCATTGTTCCCTGGGCCACACAGGGCCACTAGTGCTCCCCTGAGAACACTGGGTTCTTACCCAGCATGGCAGGGTGTCTGCCAGGCACAGTGATACACAGGTGGCCCCTCCTGACTCACACTGGTAGGATGCAGCTCTGGCGTGGGGATTTTCTTCTAGCGTCCCGAAGGTATCTACTATCTCTGGAGTTGAATATAGAAAAAAAAAAAAGCTGGATGTCATTTGCATAACATATCACTCTGTATGTCATCGGCATTGCTCAGAATGAAGTCAGGGGATGAGCTGCCTGAGGAAGAGTCTTGCTGTGTCACTGGGAGAAACCAAGCCAGGCAAGGCCAGCAGTTCTCAGCTCAGCCACCTGTCACTCTACCCAAGTATTTACCAGACCTGCGACCACTTGCCCAGACCCACCAAAACAGACTCCAGTTTGAAGTCTGGAAAAGCACAGGACAGAGAATAAACATTGTAGGGAAGATGGTTATGGACAGATTTAGGCATAAAAATACTTTTATATATTTTCTAAAGCATCAATACAATTTTTCTCATAAAAATGACAGGAAACCAATTTGAAATAAAGGAGAGAAACTCACATGGAGAATCGCTACATACTCATGAAGCCAAATGAATCCAAGCAAAAAGAGCTCTGGAGTGGAGGCGATGATCGAGAGGCTGTCTTGGCTTCTGCTGGCCTGGCCCAAGCTAGGGGCAGCACCTCGGTCCAGGCAGCTTCCAGGGTCAGTGCAGAGTGAAGGGAAGAGAGGGTCAAGGCATGCTGGGAGTTCAGTGAAGCTTCACTAAAGATGAGGGTAGAGCAGCATCCACAGAACTGTAATTTTCCCACTCTCGGGGCCCAGCAGATACTTGGAGCCAGTAGGAGAGATTCCAGGGAGGGCACGTGGAAGATAGGTCCCTCACTGTTGGGGATTTTTCAAGACTGCTTTTTAACTAGGCCTGTTTGTCTGTCTCTCTATTCATAAAGATAAGACTTTCCCATTTCTAAATCTGTGAAACATAGATTGGAAAGAAAAAAGTTATATTTTCATGTTCTGTTCTCAAGTTTCAACATCTGAAAAATGTTTTAAGATAAATGTTATCTTTTTTGATTATAGAGAATTTAGAGAAATGGAAAAAGTACAAAATATTGACCATTATTATTGCCACAGATATATTATTGCAAGGTATGTTCTTGGAGATTATATATTCTTCCTTTTTCTTTTTTTCCCTTCTTCCCGACTGACTTTGGAATGTACATGCAGCAGCCTTGGATTTGTCTTGAATTTGTGGCTTAAAAAAAAACAAAACTCCTAAGAGATGATCTAAAAACACAAGAGATTCTGATTAAAAGTATTGGGTGCATCATGCCACCCTTTTCCCAGAGATGCTCAGAGAGGTCTTGGTTTAAACACCCAGGGCTGCTGAACTTGGTTCACAAGGTCTCGAGGTCCCATTTGATCTTGGAACAATCAGTTCCATGTAATCACTCGCACCATCATCCTGTGGAGTCACTTCAAACACACAGTTTTGGAACTGTGATGAAATTGTGAGAACTGTGAAGAGCCCCTACCTGTTCCTGTGATGCTGGCTTGTACTTTATGCTGTAAGGAGCAGCTGGTCAGCCTCCCTGAGCCCCAAAATGATGATGCTAGCTCAGGAGCAGGCCTTTGAAGTACCACTGATGCGATTCCGTTGACATACTGGATAATTTTATTATTCAGCCTCCCCTCATTCTGTTAAAAGCACTTTGGTGTCTTGTTTCCAACTGATGATCATCATCATTATCATTATTGACGTTTATTGAACATTTACTGCTTCTAGGCACTGTGCTGATCCCTTTATGTGAATTATCCTATTTAACCTCACACCGGCATTAGCACAGAAGTAAGACTGTGGCATCTTTCTCACTTAATAGATGAGCAAACTGAGGCTCAGATTGTTTAAGTAGCATGCTTGGGGCAGTCAGCTTCCACATGGCTTAACTGGGACTTAGATGCACATAGTGTCTCTCTTCTTAACCATCATACTCTGTTCACTTCAAGTATCTCAGCTTGAAACTTGCAGACATCCAAGACACCGTGTGTGCATCTTAAGAGTTTATGCATTACCCCCTACAACATATTTATAGCTCTAATCTATTTAATCACCTAGTTGACTTTCTTCTTTTCTCTGTCTCTTTCCCCTTGTGAGCATATAAGTATTTATAAAATTTCTACTAGAGGTCAAATGTCAAGTCCAGTGATGGTTGAAAATTCAATGTTAAGATGTTGGCCCTTTCCTTAGGGAGCTAACAATCTGAGGTACAAGTTCATTGAGTAAATCAAAACACAATCTGTGTTCGTTTGTGAATGCAGAAAAGCAACAGCATCTAAACTAATGGAAACTGGGAGAACCATCCAGAGGAGATGACTACAAGGCCGAGTTTTAAAGCTGAGCACCAGAGCATGAGATTGACATGCCAAGAAGACAGACTGGCATCATGGCAGGAGGTGAATGCTGGAAGGAGTGGGAAGGATGGTGGCCTCCCTAAGTAGGACACCAGAGGATGACAGAGACTGGGCTGGAAGGGGCCCTGTCACAAGGCCAGGAAATGCTGAGTGTATGAGAAGAAGATGACTAGGTTTAAGTTCCATAGAAACCCCTCCAACAGCAGTGGGGAGGAAACCTGGGAAGCAAGATCAAGGAGGGAGAGCTGGACTGGGAAGCAGAAATGGAGTGGAAACAATGGAGCCAGACCTAAGACAGCCACAGCGTGGGTGGTTGAGCAGAGCGGAGACATAGGGAGAAATACTGGTGTCCCACAGACTTTAGACAGAAATTGAGTGAGGAGGACAAGTGACTCTTGAGTGTGTAATGGTGGTGAAAATGCTAGGGGGGCCACAAAGGCTTCAGTGACAGCTTGGAGAACTGTCGGCTTCATGATGAAAGGGCAGAGCAGTGTCGATGTATGAGTAGCCTGTGGGTCTGGTTTGGTGGCTCAGTGGGTGACCATGCAGTTGAAACAATTCAGTCCTTTGTCTCAAGAACCCTGCCCACTATTTGTCTTGTCCTCCTCAAACTGTGAAACACTAATTTTAAAAAGATAAAGCAAAAAGTGTACATTTTCATTTCCTATTCTCAAATCTTAGCTATTCCTAAATTTTACCCCCTCAAACACTCATCTTTTTAAAATTTTGGAAGCAGCATATCTTTATACATTTAGGAAAACTGAGAAACATGTAAAATATTCACCTATACCATGAGAGAGATATATCTGGAAATTGTGTTCTTTTTTTCTCTTCCTTCTTTCCTGACACATTTTCCTCTGTCTCTCATCTGTGTTTATTTTATTTGGCTATATATCCATTCATTCATCTGTTTATTGAGCTTGTATTTACTGAGCATCAACTATGCGTCAGGCATAGTCTTAGACACTGGAAATACAGAGGCAAACAAAATAGTACCTCAAAGAGTATAAATCCTAATGAAAAGGATTCTATACATAAATAAATGTATGTTGGGGACTCAAATTCTATTAGGAGAATACCGGAAGTTATAGTTGAGATCTAAAATGTCCCCCCAAATGTTACGTGCTTGGAGATGGGGCTTTCATAAGGTGATTAGATCATCAAGGCTCTAAATTGATCAGATTAATCATTGATGATCCATAATCTGATGGCATTCCTGGGAGGTGATGGAGATAAGAGACCGAGCCGAGTTTAAGGAAGCGGGGCACAAGGGCACAGCCTTGGGTACCCTCTCTTGTCCCTGGCCCCTTTCTTTCTATGCTTCCCTTTCTGCTTCCTGGCCACCAGGGCTGAGCACTTTTCCTCTACTGAACCCCTCTAACCATGCTGTCTCTGTCTTGTCGTCATCTTAAATGCACTGAAAGCAAGAGCAAAGGAGCTACGGCGCAGGGGTGGAGATGTGCCGCTAGCATGGGCTGCCCTGAAAAGACTGTGCCGCAAACTCAGGGCCTTTGGCAGAGTCAGCAAAGGTTAAAAAAAAGAGCCAGGAAGAATATCTAGCGAAAGAGTGCCCAGCGCAGAGGGCACCTCAACTGCCAAAGCCCCACGATGAGAGAACGTCGAGTACATTTAGGAAGGCTCATGGCTGGAACAGAATGAGCGAGAGGAGAACCGAAGGAGAGAAGGCAGTGCAGGTGGCAGGGAGCTGGCCCTGAACAGGTGGAGCACGATTTCTTGGAAAAAAGAGGGGAGCCTGTCTTGGAGGCTATCTGAAGAGCCACTCACTACAGAGTGAACAGTGGATTGTCCTGGCGGTGGCGGAGGCTGAGACGCAGAGCGAGCTGGGTGCCCTGCAAAGCTCGATGCGAGGGACAGTGAGGCATGGGTCAAAGGTAACACCAAAGGTCATGACCTGAGTTGGAAGGACAGAGGTCCTGTGCATGGATAGGTATTCTATTTGCTTACTTAAATGCTCGCATTTATTTTTTGTACCTGAAATATAGTTTAGTGGACTTCTCTCAGACTCCTACTAATTTCCTCTAAAAGCAGAAAATTGAAGGAAACTAAATAGAAGATGTATTTCTTATCTGTTTTTTTTTTTCCATTTTTTCTAGCTTTTATTCCCACTTGCCTCCTTTTGCTTGGTGGGATATCAAAATGCACATGAATTAAGCCACGCATTCTGAATTTTGCTTGTGAAGGGACTTGGCTAAAGTGCACTTTATTTGAACTTTGTGGCAAGTGGCCAAGAGAAACAAAGTTTAATTAATGCTAATTTTTCTAACCCTTTTCTGTGCCTTTTCAGCAAAATAAAGCTACCTTTGGGAGAACTAGTCAAAAGTTAAAGCGGTCACTCCACTACTAAAGCTAGCCATTGATATAACAAAAATATTTTTCTACATGATTTTCTTTGGTCACAAAAACAGAAAATATTTTATATTGTTCTTTCCCTCCTAGTCCCTTTTTATTTATTTTTTATTTTATTTTATTTTCTTGTTTGGACAAGTCAGTTAATTGTGTTTACCTTTACTTCTTTAGAGGAGCTGGACACAGTCCGTGAGCTTGTTTGCCTTGGGCTGTGTTCTGAGTGTCTGAACCTGGTTGGCCATTGCTGTATTTTGCTAAATTTCAGGGGCGGAAAGAGCTGCCAGGGTGGGCTACCTCTGAGGTCACTCAATTACAGTTCAATTAGTTGGTTTTTTTGGTCTATGAGATTCTTAAACCAGCACACAGGGACAGCTATTAGGAAGTAATCGCCCTCCATTTCTAGAAATGATGGTCTCAGTTAATCAAGCACAGAACCAAAGCTGCCCTGGGGACCTAGTGGTGAGGGCCAGCAGCTACTGCAATTCAGGGCAGCTTTCTTCTTGCCTTTGGTGTATTTGGAGAGTACTTTCCAGGTTCTTTTGATATAGTAGTTGAAATATGGATGAGAAATATAGTGTTCTCTGGAAGCTATAACATTTCTATGAGAAAAAAAACTGTAATAGAAATTTTCAGAAGGTAATCATTTTTTTTAATCATTTGAGAGAATCTACTCTGATCCCATTCCTTTTGCTTTCTTTTCACATCCAGATTCAAAAACAAAGCCAACAAATGAAAAGAAATAAAATCTACTACCACCACGACCACCACCAGCCAGACCACCACCAGCACCACCAGCATCAGCACCAGCATCCTGGGCTAAGAAGGAGGCTCCCTAAGTGGGTAGTGTGAAGGTCTTGCCCAGGGTTTTCCAGCAACCCAGAAGCAGAGTTTTGGCTTAGCTTAGGAGTTTGCTGCAAAGGACCTGGCAGCTGTAGTGAAGACTCAAACATGTTTTCTCTCTAATTGTACTTTGGCAAAGACCTTGGATGGGGTCATGTATTAGAGCAGCGAGCTGTCTCACCTGAGAACCGCAGGGAACACTCTGCATAGTGCCCTTTTCTCCAGCTCACTGTGAAGATCCAGGGGTTAAGCTGTTGGGCATTGGAACTGAACTGCGGAAGCTCAGGGCTCTGCGCAGATGAGAGCAGGCCAGTGACCAAGGCTTGTAGAGTGGGATGTCTTCTATCAACAGCCTTGTTCTCTTATGAAGCTCCCCTTCTGGCTGTAGAAAGCAGTCTTCTTAATTCAGGCTGTGCCAGCCTCTTGAGTAAAGCATCCTCTTTAGAATAGTTACTTTTCTTCCCCTTGAGGGCTTTCTCCACCTCCTGCTTCACAAGGAGGCATCTGGCCAGTTGCAAGGAAAGCTGAGGCATCCTCCTGCTGCTGTAAGGTTCTTTTTGTCCCTTCACTGTGTCTGTCATTTCATAGCAGAGTCAGGTATATCTCTGGAGCCCATAGGCTCAAGGTTTTTCTTGCCCTTTCTGATCCCTAAGGCGTGCCCTTAGCTCCTACTGAGAATCCAGCGAGGGCAGTATTATGGAGCTAACCCTACAGGAGGCTTCCTTGGTGTGGGCTTTTGCCTCTCCCCACAGAGCCTGATAACCAGAGCATCAGCTATGACCTGTGTTCATCTGGGGCACATGGAAATTTCTATGGCATGGACCGTAAATGGGACATCAGGCATGGAGCAAACGTTGGCTCATCTCAGGCACCTCCCTCAGGAGAATCTCACCTTTTATTCAGGGACCAGGCTAAAAACCACAACTGACTGGCCGCAAAGCTTCTTTGACAGGCATGGAACATTTTCAGAATGAGGTGAGGGGAAAAATAAGGATATTCCCTTGTCTCCTGGAGGCACTTCCTGGAATCCAGACTCTTGATGTCTTCTTACTGGTTTCCAGTACTGCATGGTGATGCTATATCCTCATTTAAAAAAGTTTTTGATGTGAAATATTTTCCTTGCATCATAAATTTTCTGATAGGATCATCTTCTGTTTTTAGGAATTTATCCTTCATGCTTGTGGGATCATGAGTTATTTTAAGAATTCAAGGAAAAAAATGAATTCAATGAAGGTTGTGTTTCTTTCCAGAAATCCACTTCCTCATCTACATAATAACAATTTGGTGTACAAATTCAGAGAGCGGCGGGCAGTAAATGCCATCGTAGGTGAGTGTGAAGGAGAGGCCAAAGATGTTCTGTTCAAAGAGAAAGAAAAGAAAAGGGATTGTAATTCAGCATGGACAATCTTTTCGAAAAATCCTGACTTAGAACAATTGCTTTACATGTTTTACATGTTCTCTGACCTCTTAATCTGGTTTTTCAACTTGTACATATGCTAATTAACTTTAAAAGGTATCTGAGTTGCATTTCCCTTGTTGCTAAGACAAGGTACCTGACATCCAAAGTTAAAGGAGGAAAGGCTTATTTAGATCATAGTGTTTTTTGTTTTTTGTTTGTTTGTTTGTTTTTGCATTATCAGGGATTGAACTCAGGACCCTGTGCTTGCCAGGCAAGCACTTATTTTACTGAGCTATCTCCCCAGCTTAGCTTACAGTTTGTCAAGGTTTTGGTCCATAGTCGGCTGGCTTCAAGGCAACAAAGCACATGGCAGAAAGCAGCAGTTTAGCAAAAGCAACAAGAACAAGAGAGGGAGACAAGCCTCTTGCTGCCCCTTTTGTCTTATGGAGGCTGCTGGGATCAGAGAGGTGCCAACCTAATCAGTGGGCTGATGTGGCAAACACCCGGCCTTAAACCCTCAACCCTTAACCACAGCATTGCACCACAAATCAGTCTCAAACTCTAGATTCAGCCAGCTCCACAAAAGCCTGTCCCCCATGACTGCATGAGGATTTGGGAGGACATCTAGATGCAAACCAAAGAACTTGTAAATAAATGAATCTTATTCTGGAGAAATAAAAGGGGTTGAAGGGGTGAGGAAAAGAAGACGGGAATTGAAATGCGTTATGTTCATATACCAATCTCCTGCAGTGAATGTAATCACGATGTACTACAAGCACGTACTAATAAAAAGTAAAAAAGAATTATTCCACTAAAAATAAAACTTTGTTTATAAACATTACTCTACATATTAATGTCTTCAGCACTTGTAAAACTGAACTGTAAAAATATTCCTGAAGAGCTCTGCTTCCCCATCATTGAAGCATTGTTCTGACTTAGGATATGTTTCTTCCTTTGGAAGCTGCATTATCTTTCAGCTGCTGGATTTGTACTATCTTTTTCTTGTGCTTTTGTGATTATTTTCTGAATGCATTTTTGGAGCATTCTAGTTTCAGATCTATCATTGTCTAGGGAGAATGTTTTTATTTAATTTAATTGCAAATATTCCTGTGCTATAGAGGGTTTCATATTTGACAGACTCTGAGGTTAAATCCACCACCTAGAGACTGCCCCCGCTGTGCGGCAGCCTTATTTCATCACTGCATGACAGTTCCAATCAGGACGCCAGGCTTGCGCTGACAGCCAGCATCTGTAGGGTCAAGTTTGACTTTATCACTTCACAAGTCAGAAGTAAGTTTCTTGGAGTTGTTCTTCTGGGCTGTTTATTCTGCCATTCAACTCGATGACTATTTTATGACCTTTTATCCCCCCGCAAGCTCCAGTACTTCTTCCCCAATTTCATGTCAGCTGAGGAGTTTATTTCAAACTCCACTGATGCAATTGAGCAACCTGGAGAGGGCTTGCACAGGCTCCGACCGCTGTGTCCTGCCACCTGCCTGCACCTGTTGTGTGGCTACCACGTGTGCCCACATTAGCAGAAGTGAACTGTCCCACATCCGTCATGCCCTCAATCTTACCCTCCTCTCCTGCACATGGACAGTGCCCCAGCAGCTCCTTTCCCTCTGCTCAAATGCTGGTTTTTCTCTCTGCCTGCCAATTCTCATTGGCAGACAAGCCTACTGTAATCTTTCCCTTCATAAAACAGAACTTCTCTTGATCTCACAGCTCCCTCTACTTAGGGCCAGATTTATTGGGCCCAATTACAGCAAAACACCTTGAAATTACTGTCTCTGAGAATCTCCCTTTTGGCTTTTCTCACTGTTTCTTGAATCCACTCCAATCGGGGATTCATTGTCGTCATGTGGTGGAAACAGCTCTGGCAAGTTTGCCACTGAGTGCCGTGCTGCTTGCCTGGCCTCAGGTAGCCCTGTACTTGTCCCACCAACGCCTGTCCCTGAATTGCCTGTTTGTAAAGCAGGCTAACATAAGAAGGAAAGAAAGTTTATTTACCCACTCCTAAAATTTGATAATGTTGTATGTCTAACTCAAATTTGTAGTATATCATTTTATGGAACAATTGAACTCATATAATGAAAAATATGAGCTTGCTTAGGTCTATGCATACAACATGGGACACTGACAATTACCTAGCCGATCTGGACTGCATAGGCAAAAAGGGAGAATAACAGACGTTTTGGTCCTTTCCCGTACCACTCGGTACTATGTTTTGCTTCAGTTGGACAATCTGGTCTTGAAGATATGAACAATTGTCTCTGTGTTTGGGGTATACCCACTAAAGGTCTAGAATGTCACCTTCTTTGTTTCCAGGGAAACTATTCAGCTGAGAATGGAGTCTGGGGAAGTGAGCAAACCATGCCCTGTGTTAACAGACTGCCACAGAGATGGGCTCTTTTAGAAGAATATGGGGGTGGCTGTGTCTGAGGGCACCCAGAAGAGTGTATGTGCGGACAAGACAGTGCAGAGGGCTCTGGGGGTGGAGAGAGGCATCTCTCGCAGATCTAAATTGGAAGGAACTCCTTTATAAGTGACTCACGATTTATTGCACTGGGGTATGCATGTCGTCTTTGCCAACCAAGAGAGAGAAGAGCCTCTCAATCCATCTTGTAAGAACTCAGACTATTTCTTCTTTGTCTCCTCATGGGGCATTCTCCATTCTATCTCCTTCCAGAATGAAAGGTTCATTTATTTCCCTAGATAAGGTCTGAATAAGGGCAAGATATAATTTAAATGCAGTCAGCCTTGAGATAAATCAGTCATAAAGAGGCAATTATTTTATATTAAATCTGTGTCTTTTCTAAAAAGGAATTTGTATTTATCAGTTAACTCATTTCCACCATTTAATTTTTTGAAGGGGATTATAAACTTTAAAAAATTCACTGTGGCTTTTTTCTTTATAGAATAATTTAGAGGGTGTGAGGTTTCACATTATGTCATAGTCATTTTATTTGTCAACACTTTTAACTGATGTTATGAAATACTGTAGATCTCATTATTTTGTTTTAGGTATTCAAAAACTCATGCAACCTTTTGGCTGAACATTACAGATTATTAATTAGTAGCTGGCAATGTCTAGCTGGCAACTAAGAACAGTAAATATCAAATGTCACATGCAATCAGACTTGCATTTGAATTTCATGCCTCCACTGCCTGGTCTGGGGCTTGACACTTAATCGGGCTGAGTTTCAATTTTCTTACCCAGAAAATGGGACTGCAAAAGCCTCATATTGTAGAGAGAATATGTTCTTGTTCCCTGTCCATCTTGCATTCCCTGCCTTTCTGGGCCTGGATATTTTCTTTTCTCTCAAGAACTATCAGCTTCCTAGACTTAGCCCCAAAGTCTTGGTGTGATGAATCCACCTCCTGGTTTTGGGGCAGCCAATCGGAGAACCTAATTTCTTCAGTGCTGTGATCTGAATGCTCTGAGTGTTTGGCCTTCTCCCCTCCTTCCCCAGTGTATGTTGATGCCTAATCCTCCAGTGTGGTAGTATGCACTCGTGGGGGCTTTGGAGGTCATTAAATCCTGAGGATGGCATGCTTATGAATGGGAGCGATGTCCTTATAAAGGAGGCCTGAGGGAGCACATTTATGGCTTCTGCCATTTGAGGGGCTCAGCTTTATTCTTTAAAGGAAGAAACCAGATTCTGAATCTGTTAGCACCTTTATTTTGAATTTTTCAGCTTCCAGAGCTGTGAGCAATACATTTATATTGCTTACAAATCGCACAGTCTATGGAGTTTGTTACAGCAACCTTGAATACACTGAAATACTTGGCCATAGTGGTAGGTGATGTGTACAAGTATTTGCCTTAACTGGGTAAGTGAGAAGTAATATTTTAATGGGAAATTCAATCAATTATTGGAGAAAGGTGTACTGTATACTTGAATTGCTAGGTTTAGAAACTTTATTTTCCTATTCTTGCTTTTGACTGGAGCTAACATTTGTCGAGATCTTTCTCGAACCAGCTAAAGACCTTTGCTCTGCCTCCCTCCCCTTGCACACGGCTCCAAGTACAGAAGACCCACTGCTTTATCTAGGCAAGGCTGGGTTCTGTGGCAGTTAACTACACTCATGCTGTGAGCTGCTCCATGTACAGCCCCTTCCTGAGGGCTCTGCAGTGACACAAAGCCTGCCAGCCTTTCTCCCTCCCTTCAGCCTCATCTTTCCTCTTCCTTCAGTTCCTCCTATCTCTCCTTAGAAAGAACAAGACCACATGGACTGCGGGAATTCCTTCCCCCTCCAAACAGTGACTCCTGTGTCCTCTTCTGTTCTGTGCATCTCAGAAGGGTGCTGTTTCTTTTTCAAGCTTACCCACAAAGCCAGTTGCTGACCATCCCTTCTTTTGAATAAAATTTTATCAGTATAGCTTTGTGATATATAACAAATACATTCATTGTAGGGAATTATGGCTATCTCTTCTTGACTGTAGCCTTGTTCTCAAATTGATCCTCTCAAATTCTGCTTTCAGATAGTGAAGGTCTCTTCTGTCTTACAAGAGGAATAGTTCTACTTGGTTCCATTGAACACTCCACTGACGGTGCCATGTCTCTCCTCACTGCTGCCTCTTTCCTGGTGAGTTCACAGTGATTCCCAGATCCCCACTGTCTGCAAATGCTGAGTCCGGTTCTGGCCTCTTCCGTTCCCACACTGGCCATCCAGAACGGTGCCATGGCTTTCTAACCACAGGCCCAGAGGGATTTCCTTGGTCACTCTCCTCCATGGAGCACTGCATGGGGCAGGGCAGAACAAAGATGAGACAGGTCTGAGGCTGGGATCAGGAGCATGGTTTTGGCCACGGTTCCATGATCTTTTCTTTTTGTTTTGCACACAACACTCATGACAGATTGCTTCTTTTTAAAAAGTTAATTTTATTGAGAAACAAAAAGCAATGAGGCAGTTTCAAAACAAGTTAGTAGGGCAGTTACAATAATTAATGCATTGCATATTGTTGTCTTCATAGTAGTTATTCATAGTACAAGACGCAGACCTGATATCCTGTCCAAACACTATTAGTACAAATCTTTCTTCTCATTGAATAAAGAGAAAGTTGCCGTATATCTATCCTAACAATTTTGCATATATATATATATATATATATATATATATCACTACAAAATGGTCCTTCATTTATATCCCCCATTTTGTTTAATTTTGTCAAAGATGGGTATTCCATTGCCATTTAGATATTGTAGGTGCATGAATTCAGCAAAATAATCCAATATAGTCCAGTAGTCTGTAATAGTAGTGGGTTATGCACAGGACTGGCAATGTCAGAAGTTGTTGACTTGAGCCTTTTATAGCTCAGCATATTAATATGGCTTTACTTTTTATACCTCGTTTTTATACTTTTCTGCTGGATGGTTAAGACCAAGACAAAGCAAGACCTATATAACAAGAAATGTAACTTTTGTATCTGGCAAGGTCAGTCTAACCCCCTCAGGATTTACTCTGAAACCCTGTACTACAGTTTACCAGTGTCAGCCATGTGGATGAGTCACGGCAATTGCTTAACCAATTTGCTCTCTGTGAAAGCCTGAGAGAATGTTTTCTTTCCATGTGACTCTCCTTAGGCACACTCTCCATTGTTGATCACATTCCTCTGTGGCCCCATAATCTCCTTGATCAGAAAATTTGGGACACCACTGAGTTACAAGATGTTACAGAACAGGTTCTCTTATGTCCTGAGTCCTCACTGACCTTGACTGGCTAGGGCCAAAATGTTGGCTATCCTTGTACCCTTCTTTTTCTCTAATTTTACAGATTGCTTCTGTGCATGATCCCAGGTTTCCCATCTTTCAAGTTGCCTTTTCTTTAATCCCCCGGGACCACTAGAGCTTTCATGTTATAACACACAATCATGACCATTTCTGAAAAGCCTGAACCATTTGCATGGATTCTCAGTTTTCTCTTGATTGTGTCATTAAAACTTTGAGGCTTGATTAAACACCACTCAAGGTTTGGGAGGCTTCTTGTCCCCTTAAACCTTACCACAGATGGCCACTTAAAATGCCACCACAGCTTGCAGAACAAAAAGTGCCTTACTTGGGTTATGTATGGGAAAGAATTGAATCTTCCCGCATGGGATAAAGGTCCTGTGCCCAGAAGATAATGCTAATATCAGTGAGTGCACAGATAGTGGAGAAATTCATTCTCATGTCTTCATGGACTAATCTGCCAGTTCCCTCTCCAGTAAGAGAGAAAAATGATTCGTGGTAAGGACTGTCAAGAGAACACATGCTAGCATTCAGAAACCCATTGTTCCTGTGTAGCTTCTATGTGGGAATGATTTTGTCTATTTAAAATATTTCTCTCAAACATCATAATGATAATACGAGAACATTCTCTTGTCCCTACCACCACCCTTGGATCAGCCTAGACCCTTGAATCAACCACTTCTTTTGGAGGTCAGAGAGAGCAGTGGGTGCTGGAGACTGCACCCAGGGCCGCACACATGCTAGGCAACTGCTCTACCCTGGAGCTATACATCATCAGCCCTTTTTAAATTTCATTTTGAGAGAGGGTTTCTTTAAGTTGTCCAGGCTGGCGTAGAACTTGTGTTGCATCTGCCTCCACCTCCTGAGTGGCTGAGGTTATGGTGATTTCAGTATTATACTGAGTTTGAAGTCAGTGATTCCATCATCATAGACATGATTTGAGCTTCAAAGTGTGGTCTTTAAAATCATGTGAGGGCTGGCAAGATAGCTCAGCAGTGTAAAGCACCTGCTTAGGCAAGCTTAGACAAGCGATAGGAACCATGGTTTGATCCCCCGCACTACATGCTATGCCAGCCCTGCCTGTAGGGCAGGCTGAACAGTCCTGTTAAAAAAAATCATGTGGACTGGGTGTTCAGTATGTAAAGAAACATAGGAAGACTTTAATATTCAATTTTTCCATCCCTGTGGGGGAATCACTTAGACTTTGTACATTTCAACATAGTTACAAATGCATTTGGCTAGCTAAAAAGAGCCTTAATTTTCCTTTGGATTAACTCTAGATTCCAATTTTACTCAGTTAGAGAATACCCCAAAGTCTTAATATTAGGGTTCAGTTTGTTTTAAAACAACATCTTTCTTTTCATCTTTTGACATTATCAGTGACAGAGATGTCTATGAGGTCACTAGGAAGCTCATGTTCAAATTTACAGCCTCATGCCAGTAGCAAAGTACAGAGAGACTGTATTTTACATGTAAATTTGCCCTTAGATTAAATTTTATCTTATCTACCTTTATCCCAGTCTTTCACTCATTTTCTTCTCACTTACTTTCATCCTTACCCTTCATATAATTTATAATCCTGTCAACTTCTGCACCACAGTAAGAACAAAATCGAACTTTACCTATGGCCACAAAACCCCAACAGTTCTCCCAGTTTGACCCCTCTATGTGAGCTCATCCTTCCATCACCTTGTTCCTATGGGCCTCCCCATTCTTCCTGACAATCCCCAAGTGTTTTTCCATCTCAGGGCCTGTGCCCCTTTGCTGCAGGGCTCCTCCCTCCCACAACTCACTTCCACTTTCACTCAGGCCCTGCTCCACTGCAAACTGTCCAGAGAGCCCATTGCTGTCCACTTTGTGTCTAAAGCAGCATTCTCTATCTCTGTTACTTCCCCCTGTGTCCCAATCTTCCTGATTTGCTTCTCTTAGAATTTTTTCCATGATCTAACACTTAAAAACATTCTATGTAGGGAAGCCTAGAGGAGTAGTTTTGAGCACAGAGCCAGGGCCTGGACAGGGCTCCCAAGCCTGCCTTACTGCTTAAACATTGCATGATCTTGGGCAAATTTTACCTCTCTGTCTTTATTTCTTTATCTAAAAAAACATTAAAAAATTTACCTGGCACATAGTAAATGTGATATAAATTATGTATCTGTAAATAGATAAATAAATTAAATAATTAATGCTTGACCTGTCTTAATACATCACTACACTCTTAGCTCCAAGAAAAGTGCCTGAAATATGGTAGGCACTTATGTGCCTGTTGAATAAATTATCTTTTGGTAGAAAGTAGGGGCATTTAAAGTTTCCAAGGAGAAAGTGAAGCCATGTTATTTAAATGCTCCTATATGCTTGGCTCTGGGTTCAGCCCTAGGAACATGAAGACTAAAGACTTACTGTAAGGAAAAGAACATAATCACCTGAAAAGAAAAGTGAACACTCACATTAGAGTGATGAGAGCACTGGTGGAGGTAAGTTTGGGAAGCCCAGAGAGGAGACATTGATAGCTGTGACCCTCAAACTGAATTTGAAGATACAGTGGAGTAGTCTGAGTGAAGTGAAGCATTCTGGGGAAAATGTGTATATGCAAAGGAGTAGAACTGAGACTCATGGTGTCTCAAGAAAGGCAGCTCAGCATTCCAGGTGGTAGGAGCATGTGGGAGGAGATGGCTGACTACATGTGATGCAGGACACATGAGCATGAGTGCATTCTACAGAGTGATGCTGAGATTCTCTGTCTTATCCATCCAGGCTCTGTAAACCTGAGCCCTGCTGGAGCCTGGAGATGCTGCCTTGCCTTAGGAGCTGTCCTGGCTTGTTGGTCTCAAAGCTGCCTGCAAAGAGGTGAGACTACTACCTGAGGAAGCTAGTAAGTTCACCAGACAGAAGCTGGATGATCACCAAGACACTCAGACATGGCCCAACTATCCCAAGGCAAACAAGCATTAAGTCTTCCAGTGCTTGAGGACAGAGCTGAAAAGAGGGCACTGGCAAGAGAGTAATAAGGGTGGCAAGAGTGAAGAGCAATTCTCTTCTTTTAAAAGATCGCTTGAACCTGTTCCTCCTTTCCCCCAGTTACTTCTCTCATCATGGCCAGTGGACTGCATCACTGGTCTCTGTTCTCTACCCTTCTCTGTGCCTGTGCATTTTGCCATGGGACTTTGTGGCATCAAGAGGAAGAAGCTGTTCAGGGTTGGCCACGTGCTTTGGCCAGTGGAATGTGATAGAAATGCTAGCCTGGGATTCTTGTCTAGCCCCTGGATGCATGTTCCCTTTGGCCATCCGACTGCACAGCTAGACAGTCTTGGTTGGCCTGCGGAAGATGACAGACCAACTGGAAGTTTGCCGTGCCCTTTTAGTTGAGGCCAGTTTAGACCAGAAACCTACTGATCAGCCCAGCAGTTGATCTCAAAAGCTGAAACAAACCCCACTGAGATCTGCCAGGCTGCCAGCACCAGCAGAAGCATTAATTAAATGCTTAGGTGTGAAAGAGGTCATAAATGTTTGCTAATCAAAGCACAGCATTTAAGAAGGATTTCTAAGCAGAATAACTAACTAAAATACTTAGTAATTCCTTTTTCCTTCCCCACTTTTTGTCCTTTCTTCCCCAAAAGGATTGAGGAGGTACAATCCTAGTGGATGAATTAGGGAAAAGGCTTGAGTCACCATCTGGGGCCTTTTTCTCCTTGTCCTTTCATCCTAGGATGTCAACTTTCTATTTATGTGAGTATTAACTACTCCAAAGAGATGCTATTTGGACCGTGTGATGTGCTTCCCATTCTGATGAACCATTTTCCCTTATCCACAGTGTGACTCCTCTCTGCTCCCAGGGCTGAAGGTCATTGTTAATTGGCATGGCTGCTCAAATCATCTCTGAACATCGCCTCCTAGAAAAATCCTTGCAAAGTGGAGAACCCAAGGGGAAGAGCAGAACTCTGATAGTGGGCTGAAGATAATTTCACTGGCTCACCACGGGCCTTGTTTGTCGGTGATAAAATAAAAGACGGGAGCTCAGAAACCAAATTGGCTTCAGAGCTGATGTGTGGCCGAGTTGTCTTGATGAGGTGGCTGGGAGCTGTAAAGCAAGCTTTCCCTTTAATGGGTGTTTTGTGCCTGTCTGGCTTCTTGTCCAGAGACTGGGCAAAATCTATTAGTGAGATCCACACTATTTGCTGGTCATACCGCAGCCATATGGGAGACGACTAGCCCATTTCTTTTCTGATCCCCTAATTGGAACTGCTGACTGACTTGTAGGTACCTGAGTGGCTTAAAACGGGGATGATAAGAGCTCTGGTATCAAAGTGTTTTAAAGGGCAGCAGGAGACATCATTCACACTGTCTGCAGATCCGTTTGGATGGATGCGGATGTCTGCCAGGAGCAGCTGGCCTGGAAGGTGTCTGTGCAGAGACTGCTGACTGGCAGTGACCTCTCACTGCTCTTCAGCAGCAGAATTCTGCTGAGTCTAGTGGGCCAGGACTGCATATATTTGAAGCCAGCTAGAGAAGAGTACGGGCTCCTTTTCTGAGTCGTCCTTATCATCTCAGGGAGCATAAGCTTGCAGGAAGTTTTCTGAAAGAGAAAGAAGGGAGTGTAGTGTTCAATGAAAGAAGGGAGCTACCTCCAAATGTGACATGAAAAACAATTCAGACAGGGTTGGTTGGTTCCAATTAACCCCCCACATGGGTCTACCAATGACTGAAGGGGTTATGGACCATCCCTTTGGTTAACAGGTGGGTAACTGAAGTCCATATTCTCAAAACTTGTGATTTTATTGAGTCATTTCCTAGTAAGGCCAAAGCTACCACTATTTACAGCTTACTAGTATGGTAAGTCTCCAAAAGAGAGTTCATTAGTGTGAGAGGAGATAGAGAATCTCTTGTGAAGAAGCTAGATTTTCTTCTGCATTTATTTATTTATTTATTTATTTACTTACTTACCTCTTTACTGCACTTCACAGAGTGAGTCCCTTCTAAACAAGGCAGTCAACTCAATTTGTCAACCTTCTATTGGGCACTTACTCTGTCCTGGGACTGGTAGGTATTGTAGAGCAAGAATAAGTACAGCCTGACTGTCCAGGCTCCTGTCTGGACTCTCTTCATTTCCTCCCTGCATGAAGCTCAGCATCTAACTTTTCCCTGTATTCCCTAGGCTCTAATGTTGTTGGAAGGCTGTGGGTGGATTTTTCTTTCCGCAGAAATGTGATGGGAGATAACAAAATGTTTTTATGCTGTAACAACTCAAAATGGACCAAAGAAGTATACGTTGTAAGATAAAAATGAAAAGAGAAAATATAAGCGGGAATAAATATTCAAAATATGTGCCATAAACCCCCACATGTTTGCTTGGGGAGCGTGCATTTGGCTTAGAGCATCCTTCATATCCACTGTAAGGAAAAATCCTGGACAGGCATTGGATCCATGTTATTCTTAGGACAGAAACAATTGCTTACTTTGAGAAAATACCTGTTCCTGAATGGAAAGAAATTACTTTCATAGGTTTAAAGAGAGTGGCATATAATAGTATAACTTACTGTGTTCTCTTTGAATTTCAAAGATAGATAAGGGGTTTCTTTCAGGTCAGTTGTCTCATTCATTTATTCTTTAACAATGATTTTCCCATAGAGAAAGCCAATCCTGGGATTGCTATGCTTTCAACAATCATTATTTTAAATACCAGACTAAAGAAGACTTCAAATCAACATCAGGAAGGAGATGCACTGTTTAACGTGACCCACATGAGCTAGGTATAAGTTGGACACTTTGCTGTTGGTAACACTATAAGACAACATCCTCATCTCTGTTTAGTTTCTCCTCTTCAAGTATGAAGTGTAGGACTTTAGGTTTGGGGCAAAGAGTCATGAACTCACAGGTCACTGTTCTTCCTCTCTACGAACAACTAAATGCAATGATTTGGGTATAGCTCTGAAGGAAGGAAAAAGTACAGGAGTATCAGAACTGAAAGAATAAGACATTGAGTTACCTGGGTTTTCTTTTTGTCTCCTATACATCCTAGAGGAGATGACAGAGGGGACTGCAAACCAGTAGATACAGCACCCCCCACAAAAGAAACAAAGAATGAACAAAAAGAAGGAAAGAAGGAAGGAAGGGAGAGAGGGAGGGAGGGAGGGAGGGAGGGAGGGAGGAACAAAGGAAGACAGGAAGGTAGGTAGGCAGGCAGCTAGCCAGGCAGACAGGCAGACAGGCAGAAAGGCAAGCTTATGTTTTCTATCCAAAGCACTGGGGATGGGGTCTGTGTGTGTGTGTGGGGGGAGATTAGTAGGGGGGTTAATGGGGGAGATTCAGGTTCCATAGCCCTTATTTACTAAGTGGCCCTTATTAAGCAGGTTGCTGTGGGGCTTGCCTGTCAAAACAGTCTTTTGTTTTTGAACCTATGAGCCTGTAAAAGGTAGGATTTCTTTCTTGTCTGCATTTCTTTTTTTTTAAACTGATTTTCACATTTTATTAAAAAACTATACATCAAGCTCTTTCCAGGCATCCTCGTGAGAGTGACATCGTCTTTAAACACTCCGTGGCAATCCCTGATGCACTGCCGTGATGCCCAGGGAAGACAGGGCAACCTGGAAATCTAACTACTTCCTAAAGATCATCCAACTTTTGGATGATTATCCAAAATGCTTCATTGGGGGAGCAGACAATTTGAGCTCCAAGCAGATGCAGCAGATCTGAATGTCCCTCCGAGAGAAGGCCGTGGTGCTGATGGGCAAGAATACTATGATATGCAAGGCCATCCAAGGACATCTGGAACACATCCCAGCTCTGGTGAAACTGTTGCCTCATATCCAGGGGAATGTGGGCTTTGTGTTCACCAAGGAGGACCTCACTGAGATCAGGGATATGCTGCTGGCCAATAAGGTGCCTGCTGCTGCCCATGCAGGTGCCATTGCACCATGTGAAGTCACCGTGCCTGTCCAGAACACTGCTCTGGGGCTCGAGAAGACCTCTTTCTTCCAGGCTCTGGGCATCACCACTAAAATCTCCAGGGGCACCACTGAAATCTTTAGTGATATACAACTGATTAAGACTGGGGACAAAGTGAGAGCCAGCGAGGCAACCGTCCTGAACATATTGAACATCTCCCCATTCTCCTTTGGGTTGATTATTCAGCAAGTGTTTGACAATGGAAGCATCTACAACCCAGAAGTCCTTGACATTACAGAGGAAACTCTGCATTCTCGCTTTCTGGAGGATGCCCGCAATGTTGCCAGTGTCTGTCTGCAGATTGGTCACCCAGCTGTTGCATCAGTGCCCCATTCTATCATCAGTGGGTACAAGCAAGTCCTGGCTTTCTCTGTGGAGACTGATTACACCTTCCCACTTGCTGAAAAGGTCAAGGCCTTCTTAGCTGATCCATCTGCATTTGTGGCTGCTGCCCCTGTCGCTGCAGCCACCACTGCTGCTCCTGCTGCTGCAGCTGTCCCAGCTAAGGTGAAAACCAAGGAAGAGTCGGAGGAGTCAGATGAGGATATGGGCTTTGATCTCTTTGATTGATCATCAAAAAGCAAACTATTCAGCCTGCCTAATTGGCAAAACAAGGAATAAAGGCATATTCTCTTTCAAAAAAACAAAAACTATACATCAAACAATTCTGAATTCCATACAATTTGACATTCTAATTCAATTTTCTTTTATTTATTTGCACTTATGAATCTATGTCACTATTAATGATGATATCTCTCACTAACCCTGTGAACTCATGGACTCTAAGAAAATCATGATGATATTTACTCTGCCTTAATAATTATGTATATGTCCATGAATGTTTATTTACTTATTTATTTTTGGTAGCAAAAGTGTGATTTTTTTATTTTCCATGTCTTTTGCCATTTTTTGCATTTGAAATATTTCATATTTAAAATACTGATATATACATATATAAAATTCACCCTAAAATTGTATTCTGAACATTTATATTTGCATGTAATTACCAATGTTATTTAAAAAAATTTTTTTTCCATTCTTGTCTGCATTTCTAACAGCATCCTTATCTTTTGAGCTCCAGCTAGAATCTCCACCAAGGTTGGCCAATTCTATGGATACTCTAGTTGGCATTTCCAAACCTACCCAGACTGCTCCCACAAACTAATCCCAAAGGCTTCTGAATCTTTGGTCAGGCATTAAGAACAACAATGCCACCCTTGGTACCAAAGTCTATTTTAGTAACTTTCTTGTCCCTGAGACACAATACCTAACACCTGCACCTTAAGTGAAGAGAGGTTTATTTGGACTCATACTTTCAGTCCATAATTGACTGGCTCTGAGGTAAAAGTACAAGGTGGAAGAATCTGGTAGAGGAAGAAATGGGAGATGGTAAGAGTAAAAAAGGGAAATATATCCTTCAAGGCCATTCCCCCAGAGACTTACATCTAACCAGGCCCCACTTTCTAATAAGTCAAATGTAGTGCTCTTATCATTCTATCACTTTTCAAAATCCCCTTCTGTGAGTACATGAGACTTTGGGGAGACATTCTTGGTCCAAACCATAACAATTCACTAGATAAAAATTAGTAGGGATGGAGAGAAACTGAACAACCAACTAACAGGATATGATACCCCCTCAGATGGCTCCTGGATTGACTGAACAGGAAATTCTTGCTCAACTGGTCATTTCACTCAACATTTTACTTCTTAGATATTGGTGTCCAAGTGGATTTTGGTTCCTACAAAAAATTCTACTTTGAAAAATAAGTACGGAATGCAAGGGAATATGTTTCATTTGCATGAGAAATGTACCATTCTAAAGAATCACAACCAAATAACAAAGCATTCATGCATTCGGGCATTTGTGCATTCAGATCCCATGTTTTGGATGCTTTTCTAGGTTTTGGGGAGAGAGGGAATAAAATAAAGGTTCTGACTTATAGTTTGGTTTAGTACAGAAATCATAAAATATTGGACAGCAAGTCTTTCCCCTAAGAGCCTACAATCTAATGGGAAAATAACTTTATATCCAAAGAAATATACAATAGGAAATGCAGTATCAAATGGGAACCCATGGAGTGTTTCGACAACACACAATAGACCTGAGGAAAAGGTAGTGTTTGGGGAAAAGGAAAATTTCTGAAGAGGCTGAGTTGGAGTTTGGAGAAAGAGAATAAGTAGAGTGTAATGATGGAGAGAATGGGTTGGCATTAGAGATGTAAGATGCAGCGACAAGAAAATAAACAGCTGGGGCCACTGGAGCCTGTGAGCAGGCGACTGATGTGCTTTGTTGAGATCTTTGTAGAGAACCACAAACAGCAACTATTACTGATGCTTATTTTATGCTGGTGGCTTGACATGTTCTTTTATTTATTATGCTAATACTGACATACATAAACAGATATTCTTTTATTACAAAAAAAGAAACTTCAGTCCACAAAATTAAACAGTTTGTCCAAGATTAAAAAGCAATAAGCAGTAAGCCTGAGATTTGAACCTGGTTAGTAAATTTATTCTGTACTAATACCTTTTTTGAATCAGATACATATTTAATAACCTCTCTTTTTCTAATTGATTTTTTAAACTCATTTTATACTTGCAATTTTCAGCCCTGTTATCACTTAAATTGCAGTTAGCTAGGTTGTTTCCAAGCAGAGGCTTCTTTTCTGTTGAGTTCGCTTTAGTAACATACATGACCACATTAGCATATTTTACCAGGAAATTCATCCTCAGAAATAAAAATCCAGTTTTCCCAGAGATTTAGCCAAGGCTCATTCTGTGTCCTCCATATAAAAGTTCTAAAGCGTTGGATGTAGTGGGGGCAAAGTGAGAATAAAGAATCAAAGGTGGTTCTGAATTTTTTAAGTTAATTGGTGAGGAGAGTGCTGCGACCATTGTCAGATATAAATGCTGGTTTAGACTAAAGATAATGAATTTGATGTGGACAGGCTGAATTTGAGAGAGGGTAAGACATCAAACAAACACTGTGCTAGTTAATAGCACCAATAAGGTAGTATGTCACTAAAGCATAAACCTCATAAGGAAAATGACACCATGGCTCATGGTTGGATTCCATCAGTCAAATTTGATGGTGGGTGAAACTAGAAATCTGAGGTTGCAGAATGACACGAAAAGGAGATGTACCAGAAAAAAAGAGAGGTTAATCAATCATACAGTTAATTCCACTAGGATTTTTGGATTTTATTGTGTACTTGCTGAATTTGCTTTCTGTTACTGTGGCAGAATATTTCTGTCTGACATAAAATTTACCATTTTAACCAGTTTTGAGTGTGCAGTTGAGAGGAACAGAATACATTCACAGGGGGGTGTCACCACTACCGCTTTCCTTCTCTAGAACTTTTTATCATCACAAACAGAGACTCAGTATCCCTTAAACAATAACTTCCAATTATGTCCTTTTATTAGCTCCTGGTAATCATTACTCTCAAGTAAGTAGATTCTTTGTCCTTTATCTCTGGCTCATTTCACTTAGTATAAATGTCATCAAGATTCATCTATGCTATAGCATGTATGAGAAATTCCTTCATTTTTAAGGCTGAACAATATTTCATTATGGAATATAGAATTATGTTCACTCACTCATTCCTTGATAGGTATTTGAGTTGTTCCTACCTTTTGTACATTGTGCCGCTATGAATGTGAGTGTGCAAATACCTGTTTAGGTCCCTGCCTTTAAATCTTTTAACTAAAGATACAGGAAGGAAGCTATTGCTAATTGGAAAAAGAAATCTAGATTGCACACATAGAAGTGTGCTCCTCTCATAAGACCAGAATTTTCACTCTGTTTTTGAAAAATAGGCTAATTACCTTGAATTTATCACTACCTCCCTCTGCAGCAGACAATCTATAAGGTTCCTGAAGCTCTAATCCTCACCAAATGGTATGCAAAAAGCTTGGGGAAGCACTATTCACGTCATCTAATACTGGCTGGAATTTCAGAGCAGAAGAGCCAGTAGATGTAGGGTTTTATTCTCTCAGCATCCTGCACAGAAGCAGAGTGCATGAACTATCAGGGGGCATGCTCCAAAAGAGAGACCATGCTCTCGGTTGTTTTTCTTTTTAATAGAATGGATATTAGCATGTCTTTGCTCAGGAAATTCTGGGCTCATGTGCTAGCTAGTCCATGCTGAAGTATT